TGTTAGTTACATTCTTTAAAGGCTGGCGTGGCCTTTTCTTGTACACTTGTATTCCCTTTATTTGTGTCTCAACAATCTTTGACAGAATTTTCTGATTATTTGATGAAATATATGATGAATTTTCTGGAGTCCCATATTTTACAGGTGACTTTTTGTGAAATGGTTTAAATTGGGGTTTGGTGCTTTGGATTAAAGTGGCATCTATATAAGTATTATTCTGAGCCCTGTATTTTATGAGCCCTCGAGAAATCTTTATCTACTATTAAAGAAATATTTAGGTTATGTCTGGTGTTCTAAATGATCCCTTCAGTATTGAGCTTTTGTCTTGCATTTCTAGTTCCAGACCCAGTGAAGAAGGGTTTTATTGGTTGGGTCTCTTCCAGAAGTCTTTTAGATGAACTTGTCTCAATGTTTTGACTTATGCTGAGGGTTAGATAACATGAACTTAGATAGACTGGAATAGCAGAACAGGGTTGGTGTTGTTCACTCTTTGTATGTGGAACAATGGTTGGATGATGTTCAATCTAAAGGACTTGTCCTAAGCTCTTTGATCATTGACTATAATCCCCATATGTTTCATCATTGGTAGTTGACACCTGATTTGATTAGTTTTCTTCAATGTGGTTGAGCAAAGACAATTCTGAAACTCAAACTGATCTCATATCTGTTCCATTACTGTGAACATTTTTTTGGTACTGCATAACTAATATAGAACTTCTGTTTCTGCAACATTCATCATGACTAATAACTGAAAGCTGTAAAATCTAAACTTGTAGGTCTCCCATTGCTTGGATTCTCTGCATTGATATGTCTCTCCTCCACTAGCATAATTCCAAGCCTTTTTGTCCTCACATGGACATGCTTGATATGAATATCATAGGAGAAGGTTTATTTGCATAATGCCCTCAAGAAATCTTAAAATGTAACTTCGATCATAATATTTATATTGATAGTTGTATATGTAGAAAAGTTACTCATTTTAGAGGGGTGATTTTTCATCATATTTAAAAGAAACATTTGGTTTATTTTTTAAAGGGATAATTGTAAGTCACGTTTAAAACAAACTTACTTATGGTTTAGGTTATTAAATAATTGGCAAGTCAACTTTAATAGCATATTTATTGTTTCTATTGAAATTATGACTTACCAGTCATGCTATTTTGGTTTAAACTTTCTTAAATCTTTCTTAACCAAATAAGGTAATCTCAAGCACTTATTTTACTTAACTTTTTTGTGTACTTCTTGTGATTTGTAAATACTGCATCATAACTGTTTCTTATAAGTAGCTTTGCAATGTCCAATTGTCAAGAAATTGTGATTTTTTTTTCAGTTCCCAAAGTTCCCAACATAAGAGGCAACAGGAAAAGAAGTTTTCTCCTGAACGCACACCAATGGATGGGGAAATTCAGTCAAATGATGATGAAAGCAGTGAAATTCAAATTTCTACTGAAAATAGAATCTCAAATACAGATCAGGGAACCACATCTCATGCTGATGATGACACTACTATCACTGTCAAGAATATTGACTTGGTAGATTTTAACAGCTCAAGTCTTCTGGCTGAGAATTCTTTGGTATTCATCTTCAACCAAATAATTGCAATATAGTCATTTCTGAATATATATGTTTTATTATTTATTGTCTAGTTATAACCATGGAAAAAGTTTTGGCCCTTCACTGATGATGGTAAAAACATTGTAATTGTTCTTTTGAAAATTATTAAATAAGTAACATTTTTTTATCAGCAACAATAAAATAAGCATTTATTAATATGAAGAGAAAATCCAGCCATAGAAGATCCAACACCATGTTGGACACCCCCCTGTTCAGAAGCCTATGAACAAAAGGTATGTACTTGCAAAAAAATAATCAAATAAAAGAGAAGGGATGAATCAGGCCAAACTCTGTACATTTTATAAAACAAAGGCAACATCATATCTATGACAACTCTTGTCTTCATGCATATACTTGATAGACTTGTCTTTTTTTCTTAATATAGCTAATTGTATCTATGGAAAAGCACAAGACATAGGGGAGTCTTTTATAATGTTTATTTGGAGGTTGGCTACATTTATCTTGATTCATGTTGTTTAAGTCTACATGGATTAGTGAAAGTAAATGTCTTATGTCTCACACAGACTGTACAGTGCTTGCCATTACATTTAACACATTGCCTTTTTCTTGAAAGAACTGCATCTGTAGTTTGTGCATGCTCAAGAGCTAGGATCTTATCTCATATTTAATACCGTGTACTTTGATATATCCATGTATGGAATAGATTCGGCTCTTTTTGCTTTCTATCGCTCTTTCCTTTTATTTTTCATGGGAATTCTGTTATTATTTCTTTTACCCACTCAATTATTTACTATTTTCTCATGCAGCTAAAGTTAGAGTTAAGCTTTATATATGTCAATATCATGAAAGGTCTAATATGCAGAAATGCTTGGTTTCCCTTGGGCATTTCTATATTTTAAGTTTCTATTTTGTGCAGCTTTTATTCTATTTCTCATTGCAGATTTTTATGTATATTTGCAATTCCTTTTCTCATTGTACCTCAGAACCTCAGTTGACTTGTATATTTTGATTTCATATTTATCTTTTCTCACCCAAAAATAATACAAACTTAATAAGGACTGTATTCATCCAACAGATGGATAAGGCTAATCATGGGGAACAACTTTTAAAAGTTCAACTTGAGGATTTGATTGGCATGATAAGGAATTCTGAAAGGAGTAGGCAACTTCTCTGCTGTCTTGCTGAAATAGTTTATTTATTCATTCCTATAAGGAAAGGCTTCTCTTTTATTGCCATCTTGGTTTTAATCCATTTTATTGAAAACTACTTTTCTTTGGTGATTGTATGTTAGATATCTTGCTTCTTAATCAAGCTCGGGTTCGTGCGCTTCAAGATCTTGACAAGGTTCTTGGTGAAAAGGAGGCTTTACAAGGAGAAATGAACATCTTGCAAATGAGGTTAGCAGAAACTGATGCCCGGATTAAAGTTGCAACCCAAGAAAAGATACATGTAGAAATCTTGGAAGGTCAATTAGAGAAGCTTAAAAAGGAACTCTCTGAAAGGGTTGGCACTGAAGGGAGTGCAACTAGTGCATATAACAATGAGAATGACATTTTAAATGACAGAACCCTTCAATCACATGTTAATCAATTTAGTTCCCTCAGTGAGGAGCTTAGTTCCCTTAGAATGGAGAATGTGTCCTTGAAAAATGATATATCACTACTTAAGGCAGAACTCTCTAATGTCGAGGAAACAGATGAACGTGTATTAACACTGGAGAAAGAACGCTCATCTTTGCTGGCTAACTTGAAAGAGTTGGAGTCTAGAGTAGCAATTGCTCAGGATGATGTTTCAAAACTTTCCATGCTGAAATCTGAATGTAAGGACTTATGGGAGAAGATAGGAATTTTGCAAGGATTGCTTAAGAAGGCAACCAAGCAAGCAGATCAAGCTATTTCAGTGTTACAGGAAAATCATGACCTCAGAATGAAGGTTGACAGGTTGGAAGAAACACTGGGAGAAGTGGATGCATATAGGCTATCATCAGAAAGGCTAGTGCAATACAACGATCTAATGCAACAGAAAATTAGAATTTTGGAAGAGCGTCTTCAAAGATCTGACCAAGAAATACATTCTCATGTTCAGCTGTATCAGGAATCTATGAAAGAATTCCAAGATATACTTAATAGTCTTATAGAAGAAAGCAAGGAAAGGGCATCAAATGAACCTGTGGATGATATGCCTTGGGAGTTCTGGAGTCACTTATTACTTATTGTAGATGGTTGTTTGCTTGAGAAGAAAATATCATCAAAGGATGCAAAGCTTTTGAGAGAAATGGCATGGAAGAGAGATGGACGTATTCGTGATGCATACTTAGCTTGCAAGGACAAAAATGAGGGTGAAGTTGTGAAAGCATTTCTCGGACTTATTACATCACCAAAACAGTACTACTATTTCTATCTTTTCTCTCCTACTTTTTAATTGTTACTGCATCCAATTTTGTGTTCATCCCTATAGTTAAGGTATTCCATGTAAGATTCCTATATATTATCTCAATAGTTGTTGTTATAGCTTATGCTCCTTTTTGATCATCGCAGTCCAGGATTTCATATCATCCATATTGCAGCAGAGATGGCACCAGTGGCAAAGGTAAACTTATATTTGTTCATTTGTTGCTAGCATTGTTCAAGTTCTGTAATATATAAATATAAATGTAGATATGTTTGCTCTGTTTTTTCTTATTTCCTTTATGTCCTATTTGTTATGTTTGCAATGTTGTCTTAGATCTTGGAATTATGATTTGCAAATTGTGGGTATAATAAATATGAGTTACATGGGTATCACCATCTTCTACTTTTTTCTCTGTAAAAAAGCTGTCAAATTTCTACGTATCTTGTGCTTATATTTGTCAAATTGTTTCACTGGATAAAACTAAGAATGCTAAAAGTGAGCTGCTTGATTTACCCCAATGTGAAGGGTGGATGATTCAAAGAATAAAGGTTGCTTAGTAGCCATCAATGTCCAATTTGGTCCTTGAGCCTTATATCCAAAGTGTATTCATGGTATTATGCTTTATGAGGTTGAGTAATTGGTTCCTATTCACAAAAATTCATGAATTGCATATTCCTATTCACAAAATTCGGGCATATGTAATCTATGTTTTTGTCATTCTTGTTTCTACATTATTTCATCATGTGAGCTTTTAACCTAGATTTTGGTTTATGTTGAAATGCTGCGTTTTTGTATGTTTAGTACCGCAGGGGTACTTTAGTCCTTTCAGCATGTTTTATTTTAAGTTGTGTTGCCCTAGTATAAATAACAACAAAGCTGGCGCCGCCAGCAGCTTTCTGAGACTCCAAACTTTTGTCTCTCTTCTCTCTTCTCTCTTCTCTCTTCTCTCTTCTCTCTTCTCTCTCTCTCTCTTCCTTCTCCTCCTCTGGATAACATGGTATCAGAGCTAGACTGTTAGATCCGAAAGAAGAGATCGAGCACACCTTCCCTGTCTTCTCCATTCGCCAGATCCAGATCGAGATTCATTGAAGATCCAGATCCAGATTCAGATCGGACTGAAGTACTCTCTCTCCCTTCTCTTTTTTTTTTATTTTCTGGTTGTGTGCCAGAACAGAACCTGCAATTGGTTCAGACTGTTAATGTGAGGTGAGCAGTCCCTCTTCTTTCCTTTTTTGTGGGATCGGCTGATCCTTGTAACAGACTGTAGGTCAGTAATGACCTTTACATGCTGAGGCAGCAGCTTTTTGGTGAACTTCTAGGTCAGGTGATGACCTGTATATGCTGCAACARCAGCCAAAATTGATTTGTAGGTCAAGAGAGGACCTGTATATGCTGCTACAGCAGCCATACCTGATTTATGGTAGGACAGTGATGACCTGTGAGTTCAGTAACAACAGCTAATTTTAGTTGAAGAACTGAGTTTTAAAAGAAGGGAAAGGAGGGGAGTGGTTGTTTCTATTTCCCTAGTACAAAAATTTTTTTTTGGGTGTACGGTTGCTTCTTTTTGGCCTTCCTTGTGTTCARTTGAAGTGTAACCTGAAGTTGTGATTATGAGTGGTGAAGACTCTGCCACATCTGGAGTCTCCTCAATGCAGAACGGAACAAGTGGGGGAATAGATTTATCYTTCCCTATGGCTGTTATACCCCTGGATGGTCTGAATTACTTAGAATGGTCGAGGGGGATCAAGTTATACATTACTGCAAGGGGAAAAATAGGGTATCTAAATGGGAGAATTAAAGAACCGAATTCCGGGAGTGCTGAGTATGACAAATGGAACCAGGAAAACAACATGGTTACGTCCTGGCTTTTGGTGTCTATGCAACCTCAGGTGAGAAGGAACTTTATGTGGGCTGAAACGGCTTATGAGATTTGGGAGCAGGCAAAATCGTCACTACACAAAAATCTATCAGTTATAGGCAGAATCATCCACTTGTAAACAGGGGGAGAGGAACCTTTTTGCATACTATTCAAATTTGACCTCCGTTTGGAAGGAGTTAGATCACCATCAGAGTGTAGATTGGAAGTGTGATGAAGATTCAAAAGCATACAAGAAGCTTGTTTCCCAACAAAGAGTATTTGCATTTCTCCATGGTTTGAATCTAGTATATGAACCCATCAGAGTCCAGATCCTAGGCAGCAAGGATCTTCCCTCTGTCCAAGAGGTTTATGCATTGGTACAGTCGAAAGAGAGTAGAAGAAATTTAATGAACAGCTTCGGAGGGGATGCAGTTGTGTTGGCAGCAAAAGGGAACGTTACTACAGGTGGGGGAAATTTTTTTAAGAAGGGGGACCCTCAAAAAAGGGTGGAAGACAAAGACAAACTATGGTGCACCCACTGCTGGAAACCCCGACATACCCGGGAAACATGCTGTGATCTTCATGGGAAGCCCAAATGGACCAAGGATTTAAGCAAGAAGCAAGGTTCAGACCTGAATAAGAAGTTAGGACAGCAAGGTCCAAGAAAGTTCACCACAACAAATGTGGATTCTCAGGAGAATCAACCCCCTACTACTGCTATGACTCAGACATACACTTTTGGTTTGACCCGAGGGAGGGTATTATCAATTCCTTCCATGGCCATTTGGAACTCTATGGCAGAGCAATTCGTCAGATGGATTCTTCTCCTCCTTCAACTTCATTTGCATCTACATCAGGTAACTCTGCCAAAGTTTTCCATGTATCATTTCATCCCCCTGACTCTCCTTGGATAATTGATTTTGGAGGGTCAAAACATATGACTGGTAAGTCCACTTATTTTCATACCTACCACTTCCTCTCTGGAAGAGACAAGGTGAGACTAGCTGATGGTTCATATTCTACCATAGCTGGTCAAGGAACAGTAGTTGATCAAGACTACAATCAGTCTTGAATTTAAAAGAAAAAGAATGAAGAAATTTCAGAAGAGAAGAAGAAGAGAAAGAGAGAAGAGAAGAAGCACACGAAGAGATTTTGGAAAAGAGAGAGGGTTGGTCTTGACATCAGCCGACCCACTCTTAATATTTATATATGTTGACTAATTGTAAAAGGGCTTAATTGCCCTTATTGCTTACATGGCAAATAAACTAATAATAAAGCTGAAATAACAAATTGAAATTACTACCAACTAACACTGGCATAACTAACAGAAATATGCTGCCATACAAACACAGTGGGGACCACATCAGTGGGGTCCACATCAGTGTTCTCTACACTCCCCCTCAAGTTGGGAATAGATATTTGTCATTCCCAACTTGCATAGGTCTGCCTCTAACTTCTTCCTTGCAACAACCTTGGTGAGAAGATTTGCGAGCTGCATGCTGGAGGTGATATACGGGAGACACACTTCTTGAGATAAAACCCTTTCTCTGACAAAATGTCGGTCTACTTCAATATGCTTAGTTTTGTCATGCTGTACCGGATTATAAGCTATATTAATAGCAGCCTGATTATCACAATACAACATTAAGGGCTTCTCATAAACAATACCCAACTCCTCAAATAATGACTTCAGCCATAGGATTTCAGCCACACCGTTAGCCATAGATCTATATTCAGCTTCAGCACTAGAACAAGAAACAACACTTTGTTTCTTACTCCTCCAGGAGACAAGGTTACCTCCTACAAAAGCACAATATCCAGAGGTAGACCTTCTATCATCAACACTCCCAGCCCAATCAGCATTTG